CTTTAGCTCAAGTTAAAAACTAAGTTAAATAAATTTTAAATTTTTATACTATTAAAAATAAAAGAAAAAAAATTTACTTAGACATTTTATATTATTTTATGTTGACATAATATAAGTTATTTATCTAAATTTGACTTCAGGTATGAAATTTATTTCAAAGTTTTTTTTAAAATTTTTTTCACAGAAGGAGTATTCAAACTCAATTTTTGTAAAATATATAAATTAATTTACATATTTTAGAATCCAATAATCAAGTAAGAAAATATTTATATATATTTATTAATATCATAAATCTTTTACACTTAAATATTTACCTTATTAATAAGCATATCAATAATCTACTTAAATATTTATATTTTTTTAATATTTTTTTAATTTAGTTCCTCAACATCTTAATTTTGTTCAATTTAGTCCCTATGATGTGATAGAATTTTTTTTTGAAAATTTTTTAATTTGTCACGTGGCATTAACATATCAGCATGTCAATACCACGTCAGCACTGCCATGTCATTGTATAGTGCCATGTGGCATGACCACATCATCATCTCAAATGCCACATCATCAAACTATGACACATCAACATTGACGTCATCTTTTAATGGTAAAATTGGATTCCGTTAGGGGGAGGGATTAAATTGACTCAATTCTCAAAATCGAAGGACTAAATTGCATCGATTTTCAGTAAAGAGACTAAATTGAATAAAATTGAATAGTATAGGGACTAGAAGGATCTTTTGACCATTTCCTTGAGATTGTTGGATGGTTATCAGGCATACACTAGGCAACAATTGCTTTAGACAAATGCAACTGCATCTTCTTTCTTCTATCGTAGAGTGGCCATCAAGCTCAATTTCAGCTATAATGTGTGCTTGCTCAAATATAATCGAGCTATAATGTATTTGAGATAAAGGGTGTAGTTTGTGATAGTTGGTATTAAAGCATGAATGAGATATGCGAAATGAAAAAGTAAGCATGGTAACAACGCTAAGCGCAGTTAAGGACCATAAGAGAATTGAGGAGTTTGAGGCTGTGATGGTCACGTTAAAGGCTTAGATAGTCCCCCTTGATCGAATAAGAGATATTGAGATAGCCTAGTGGGAGCAATCCGACATGATAAATACCTTGAGTGCTGACACCAAGGATACGTGGAGTACTCTTTAAGGTGAGATGGAAGAAATAAAAGCTCAAGTAAATTTTTTTGGTGATTGCTATAAGTAACTCTAATACTAGTTTAGGAGAAAGGGGAAAAAGAGTCAAATTATCATAACCCATGCGCTATGAAGGGGCTAAAGATGCGAAAGCATTGGGGATGTCCTCTTTGATGTAAACCAATACTTCTAAGTTGTCTGCACAGAGTTGGAAAAAGACAAAGTGGCAATGGCCACGATGTATTTTGTTAGGGATGCCAAGTTATAGTGATGTTTAAAATATGTCAATGGTGAGTGCCTCATGAACACTTGGGGTGACTTTAAGTGAGAACTAAAGAATTAGTTTTTCCTTGAGAATTTGGAGAATATGGATCTTCGGAAGTTGCAAAAATTGGCATCTACAAGATTAGTGCGAGAGTTTGTGAGAGACTTCTTTACCTTGATGTTGGATATCAGTGAGATGATTGAAAAAAAACAAGTTGTTTTATTTTTTAAGGGTTTGAAACCATGGGCTAAGACAAAATTTCAGCAATTAAAGGTGCAAGATGTGGCTTTGGTGATGATAGCTACTGAGCATCTCACTGATTATGGTGATGGCTTGAGCAAAAGGAAGGACCCTTCATCAACGGAAAGTAGCTCTAAATTTAACAATGGGGTAAAATTTTTTAAAGTTAGTCGACAATTGAATGGAGAAGAGGAAATGAGACCACTCGCTAGAGACTTACCCTAATTGAGGACAAATAAGATGTGGGACTTTAAGCCACAATTTATGTATCTTGTTTCCTATGCAATGAAACTCATTTTGTAGTAGGATGCCCATGCCAAACAGCTCTCAATGCAATATTTACATCCAATCTTGAGACAACTTATCCTTAGACCCTAGTTTAGGAGCTTAAGGATGAATTGGCACAAATGAGTTCAATTTGTTTCCTCAACACCCTCCAAGCATAACTAGACAAGACAAAGAAAAAGCCCTAATTGGGTCTTTCATGTATGTAGATGTAGCATTGAATGGTAAAATGACCAAAACCATACTGACGCAGGGGCCTCAGACTCTTTCATCATCTCGAGAGAGGTTGAGAAGTGTGGTCGTAAGGTTAAGAAAGACTTTGGACAAATGGAAGTAGTTAACTCACTAACCTCAACTATTATTGGGAACTCTAAAGACGTGAGACCAAGATCGGCTCTGGGGAAAGGGGTGTAAAATTCTCTGTTGCCATTATAAATGTCTTTGATTTTGTTTTTGGCTTTAACTTCAGGACAAAAGCACAGACCAATCCATTCCTTATTACTAGCTGTTTAATGTTTTTCAAGGAACAACCTTGTGTAGTACTTGTTACAATTCTACATAGGGGTAAAAAGAAGATCATTTCAACAATACAATTCAAAAGAGGGATTAAGATAGGAGAACACTCTTTTATGGGCATACCGATTTATAAAAGTGAAGATAGCACAAATCTAGTTCTCGTTAGAGTGAAGTTCATTTTGTGCCCATTTATAAAGACGAAGATAGCATAAATTTTGTTCCCATTAGAGTGAAGTTGGTTTTGTGCCCATTTATGAAGGTGAAGATAGCACAAATCCAGTTCTCATTAGAGTGAATTTGAGGATATGATGCTAGAACAATTACCTAGAGTACTATTACCTTGATGAACAATTGATTATGAGATAGAACTACTTTTGATAGCCAAGCCTCTTACAAAAGGGTTGCACAAGATGGCTTCTTCAGAACTAGTTGAGTTGAGGAAATAATTAAACAAGTTATCGCAAGATGGGTTCATTAAACTTAAAAAGCACCATTTGAGGTCCCGATATTATTCCAAAAGATGTAAGATGGGAGTTTCGATTAAGCATGGATTATTAGGCTCTAAACAAAGTCACAATAAGAAACAAGTATCCCATTCTTTTTGTAGCAGACTTTTTCAATCAATTGAGTCATGGAAAGTATTTTTCTAAATTAAATCTTAGGTTTGGGTACCATCAAGTAAAAGTTGAGATAAAAATGAAATGAAGACCACTTGTGTAACTCATTATAATGTATTTGAATTTCTTGTTATGCCTTTTGTACTAACTAATATTCCTGTCACATTTGTATTTTGATGAATCAGGGTTTCCATGAATATCTAGACTAGTTCGTGGTCATATAATTAGATGACATTATGGTGTATAGCTCAACATTGGAGGAACATCAAGAGCACATGCGATGAGTATTCCAAAGTTTACGAGATAACTAGTTGTATGTGAAAAGGGAGAAGTGTGCAATTTCTCGAACCTGAATTCAATTCCTACGCCATATCATTAAGCAAGGTCACAACTAGATGGATATGTAGAAAGTTGAGGCCATCAAAGAGTAAGTGACTCTTAAGAATGTCACTGAACTCTATGCTTTCTTGAAGTTAGCCAACTACTATAGGAGATTTAGAAAGGAGTATTTGAAAGGACAGTGTCCTTCATGAAATGCTGAAGAAAGGACATAAATGAAGTTAGACACCTTAATGCGAAGGTGCTTTTGAAAGACTAAAGGAAATGATGATGACGGACCTTGTCTTAGTGCTTTCGAATATTAAACTTTCGAGGTGTAAATATATTCATTAGATTTTACCCTCGAAAGAGTATTATTGCAAAAAGGGCACCCAATTGCATTTGAAAGCAGAAAGTTGAATAAAGTTGAGCGAAGATGCAAGACCCCAAAAAAAGAACTTTTAGAAGCGATTCATTATCTATGGGTGTGGCAGCACTACTTGTTAAGGTCTCAATTTGTAGGAAAGATAGGCAAGATTACAATTAATCACTTCTTTAAATATTATAATCACCTAATATAAAAACAAAAATAGTATAAATATTATAATCAATTATAAATTAGAACTTCAAGTCAATTATAAATATTATAATCACTTAATATAAAAAATAAAAATAGTATCATTTCGCTCCTCACTTTGTCTTCACTCTCCAAATTTGCAATGATCTTGTGGAAACCTATGGGCCTCTTCTTGCAATTCCATCTAAGCATTCATGGATAAGTGTCTACAAACTAGCATTGGGATCCAAAGTAGCTTTGGATAGCAAGAATGGCCTCCGACGCCCAAAACTGCAAGTCAATTATAAATATTATAATCACCTAATAAAAAAATAAAAATAGTATAAATATTATAACCAATTATAAATTAGAACTGCAAGTCAATTATAAATAGTATAATCACCTAATATAAAAAATAAAAATAGTATCATTTCGCTCCTCACCTTGTCTTCACTTTTTGAATCTGTAATGATCTTGTGGGAGCTTGTGGGCTTCTCCTTGCAATTCCATCTAAGAATTCGTGGATAAGCGTCTTTAGACTCACAATGAGATCCAAATTATCTTTGGATAGCAAGAATGCCCTCCGACGCCCAGAACTACAAGTCAATTATAAATATTATAATCACCTAGTAAAATCTTATGTGAAAAAGAAAATGAAAAATCTTAAGGCATACTACCTGTAGCGCCTATATAAATCCGTATAAATGGTAACGTTTCTTCTAAGATGTCTCCACTGAGGGAACTTGGAAACCTCTCGATATGTAGTCAGACTCCACACATAGGTACCCCATGTGAACACATTCCATTCATTGATATTCTTGACTAGCGACAATAGCCACAAAATCACCAATCTTCTATAGTATTGTCCAAACAAAATATTATTCACAATCAAGAATAGGGCCATCTTTATTGCATTTCCGTCTTGATCAAACTGATCTTTCTCAACCTTATCTAATACATCTTAGAGCTTTACCTAATTCTTGGCTCCCTAGTATCTCTAGTGAATTCCTCTAGGGATGGCCTGTAAGGACGTAAGATAACATCCGGCATGGGGCCAAAGTTTAGTCCTGTCACCTGGTAGAACTCACACTTGAAGAAATGCACCTTCGTATTGCCTATGGCAAACCATAACTCACCTTCGATCACACCAAGTTCATCGATTTTATGCAGCAATAAGATGTGCATGAGATTGGCATAGAATAAGCTCTTTTCTAATTTTACATCCATCAGCTTCCCAAAGCACATTCTCTTTACTGCCTCCAACTCTTTTTTTTTTCCATAGTGCATCGTGTATGACATGCAGCTGTGTCCATTTACAATGGATGTTAATGCTAGCGTTGAAGCCCCACTTGTCCCTCAGAACATGAAGCAAAGCTTCAAGGTTTTCATGCTTTGTTCCTGCCATCTATGATTGAGGAAAATTAAAAAACAAGAATTAGTTTCTACTATCTTTGCATACCTAAAAGAAAATAAATAAAGTGCGTGTGAACCATGGCTTATTAAATAACAAAACAGATACATAATATAAGCATTAAAATTTAGCCAAAAACAAAAAAACATTAATATCCAAGCAATGCCTAGAAACCAATCATGCAATGCCCTAAAACTCGTCACGTAATGTCTAAAAACCGATAATGTAATGCCCTACAAACTAGTCATACAATGACTCAAAACCAATCATGCAATGCCCAAACATCGGTCATGCAATGCTTTATCTACCAATCACGCAATGACTAAAAACTAGTCATGCAATACCTAAAAACTAGTCATATAAGGCCTAAAAATCAGTTACTCAATGCCTAAAAATCAATCACGTAATACCTTAAAAATTAGCCACGTAATACCCTAAAACCAATTACGTGATGCCTAAAAATCAGTCATGCAATAACCTCAAAATCAATCACATAATACCTTGTCAACTAATCACGCAATGCCTAAGTCATGCAATGCATAAAAACCAATCACGTAATACCCGATCAACCCGTCATGTAATGCCTAAAACCCCTAAACCCAATGCCTAATACCCTAAACCTAATGCCTAAAACAAAATCACACATGCCCTATTAATGTTTCACCTAAAAACCAGTAAAACTACCAAATTCCATTTAACAAAATCAACAACTTCAAATAACACGTCATATTTCATTGAACAACACAATCAACGAATATGCCTAATTGGAAAAGAATGCTCAAAATGCTCAAAAGGTTTTTTTTTTGTGCATCAAAAACCACTTCAAAATACTTAAAATGCTCTAAACACTCAAAGGTTTTTCTTCGTGTATCAAAAATCACTCCAAAATGCTCAATATGCTCAATAGTTTTTCTTCATGACAAGAAATGCTCTGAAGATGAATGATCTAGAGAGGAAAGCTCAAAGGATATGGGTTAGTTTAAGGCGCAGACTCAAACATATAGGTCAGTTTCATTAAGGGCAATTTTATCCAAAATTAATTTCTCTTAGCTAAAAAGAATTAAAATTATAGGGAATGTTGTTTTTAAAAATATCTTATGTATGAGGGGTATTTTTGAAAACAACCCTTGTATTATTTTGGTTGTCATTGCAATAGTGGGCTTAAGGCTTACAACTTAATGGGTCTTAATTATCCCTAATATTGGACTATCTTGTCTTTTGGGGTTTATTTTGCTTTCATTTTATGTATTTATATAAATCATGAATCTCATAGTTACTTTAACTATGGCACAATATAAATTACGTACTTTTCAAAATAAAAAAAGGAATAAAAGCAATGTAAAGCATCAAATTCTTTTCTTAATGTTTCCTTAATACTTATCAAATTTATCTTTCATTTTCTTTGTCACTAACTTCAACTTAACATCAAGTGTTTTTGCCAATCTAATAAAGTGTAATAACCATTATAAATATATAAAAAAAAGTGTTAGGAGTGGTGTAAGAAGTGCCTTAAACTTTTATAGTGAATTTATAAAATTGTTATAGAAAAAGAAAAAGACTCCTCACATTAGCCTAATCCATTTGGTTAGACACCCCATCTCTTATCAACAACTCACATTTGTAATAAATATTTGATAGTGTTAGTATGCCTTGCAAACCAGTTAAATTTGTTGTACAGAGATACCTATTGTACTAGCATTTATTATTTATAATAGTGACTCTTTATTTCTTAAATCCTTAATTATATATGTCAATTTTTTACAAATAAAGTTCATGGAATATTACATGCCTTGCAAAAGGTATTATAAAGAGTTATAATTATGAGAGCCTTATTGCACCAAATCATTTCACTAAATATGATCCCATTGAGAATTCCATCTGGTATATCACTCAAGTGTCTATAAATTATCTTGTCACAATTGTGTATGTTATCTTAAGACTTGAAATTGTCATAACATACAAGTTTGAGAATCTAATCGCTCAACGTGGAGTGGAGTCATCACCACTTTTTTTTTTTGTCTAGGTGATTGACACTTATTTGAATCTATTTTTAAAATGTTACCTTAAGCTTAACCAAAATCCATTTTGAAAAATAAGGTTTCGATCTATGAAACAATTTTCAAATTCAAGAGCGAGGTTATGCACGGAGAAGATATAAGCACCCTCGCAACGACGTTCATTCAAAAAACGGTGTCAATTAATTATGTGTTATCTTATCTTAGCTTAGGCTTTTTTTTTTTTTGAGCATTGGCAACCCATCCATGGAAGGTGGGGGTCTTATCTTAGCTTAGTTAATGATCCTTGACTTCATATTTGTTTATATTTCTCTTATTTATTTATTTATGAGTTTCCTTTTTATATTTTTTATTATTCAAATATTGTAAAATTTTCTTAAGTTTCCCCAACATTTTGGAGAAAACTAAAAATATCACCTCACCTAAAAACAAGTTCAAGAAAATCACTTATGTTCTTGAAGAGATTTCGTCATCGGATTATTTGGGTATGTTTAAAATATTTAGATAAAACATTTTTCCGTTTTTATTCTCCTTTCAAAATATTATTATTATTATTATTATTATCCTTTGATATTGGAATCTATTTTTAAATTCACCAACACTTTTGGTAAGATTTTAAAAATTTCCTCACCTATTAATTTTATAGAAAATTATACACTTATAATTTTCTAAAAGTTCCATCATCAGAGACTTGTTATTTTATTTGTATTTTATTTATTTTTATTTCTTTTTCACATAAAAGAAACTATTTGATATCAAAATATCTCCCAAATTCCTCAACACTTTTTGGCAGAATTTAACAGAATTTTTCTCACCTAGGAGTTTTTAAAAAAAATTATCTAATAATTTTCTTAAATTTCCATCAAGGGAGAATTTCTATTTATTTGTGTGTTTTTATTTATTTATTCTTAATTTTTTTTAAATAGATAATAAATAAATAAAAAACTGATATCGAAATCTCTCTCAAATTTCCAACACTTATGCAAGAATTTAAGAGAATTTTCTCACTTATAAATTTTCAATACTTGTAGTTTTCTTAAAACTCCATCATTGGAGAATTCTTATTTTATTTGTACTTATTTATTT